TGACACTCACCTTGGACAGCAGTAGGCTGATAGTCAACTCACTAATACATGTCAGCAATCATAGCAAATATCACTTATTCATAACATTTAAATGGAAAGGAAATATTTTGATTTGTTTCCCTTATAGTTTAAATGCTGTATATTCTTTAAAAAAAAACATTATCTTAGTTCAAGAGCAATATTGCACATATCAACAACTTGTACCACTCTTTTCATTCTTCACTGAAATGTGCTCTCCTTCATGAAAGCAGATACTGTATATCGCATCAATAAATTCTCAAAAGATAAAAGGAAGTGCACTTTAAGGGCTGAATGGGTAGCGTGAGCACAACACTGCCTACGTTTAGGGACATGATGTCAGCATTACACAGCACATTTCAGCACTGCAACAAGCAGCTAGTACCTCAGGTTACTGTTCCTGATAAAAGAATGAATGAGATATGAGAAGAGATGATGAAGCCAAGTAAAGATGCACATGAGTGAGGGTGTCAGACATGTGCAGCACAAAGAAGGTTGAACCTGTACTCCATTCATGTCAATCGATGATAGAACTTCAATAAATAAATAATGATGTGAATAGAGTTGGTGTGCAAAGTCTGCTTCAAGACTAAATGGATTGCCTTTAATAGTCTCAGTCATTTTTGTGAACTTCCAACCATCAATGTTCTGCTTAATGATTTACAGTACTTTGGGCATATTGTGGTAATAAGTAATCAATGGGATGCAGTACAAATAAGGACCAAGACATAACATCTTTACATCAGCAGTCTAATGTGGACAGTAAATACTATTTGGTGCCAGTTCAGCACCACTGACTGCTCAGCACAGCTTCATCCTCATTATGCATGATGGGGAACAGAGACTAATGCAGATTCCCCGGCTTAGATTTTGCTGGTTGATCAGAAACATTAAACCACTGAGCAGTGATGATGATGTTGGAACTTAGACAACAGACCACTTCACCTCTCTGATGTTTAGGCTCTTTGGGCAGAGCTGGGGTTGTTTTTGCAGATCAATCTGTTTGCTGCAGCGGATGGTATTTCTGTCAAGTGTTGTCAAGGGCAAACCATGATGCACTGCACCAGCAGAGATCTCCCTCTGCACGACTAACCGGAAGCACAGCAGTCACATTAGTGAACATGAAAAAGATTTCTACATAATTTAATAAGCTAAGATGGGGCAGTGGTGACCTAAAGGTTAGAGAAGTTAGGCTGTGACAGGCAGATCACTGGTTCAATGCCCAGACCACCAGATCATCCAGATCTGGATGAGGTAGGAGAAAAAGCAGTGTGTGCCCCACCCTTATCAAAACCACTGTGGTGCCCTTGAGCAAGGCCCTTAACATCAAACCGCTCCAGTGGAGCTACTCAGTGACCATAGGTCAGTTTGTGATTGCACTGGGCAGTTTCCAGGTATGAATGTGAACAGGGTGTTTCTGACAAAGAGAGGTGGTCACTCAGTCGACCTACCCTGAATAAATACAATTTTTAAAAACGTGAATCAAATATGTGCACATTTTTGTACACCAACGTTAATTAATTAAAACATTACCAGTTCACATGCAACACCCTGACTACACAAATAAAATTAAATAAAATATACAATTTTAATGTTTTTGACAACCAAAGGAATACAATCCATGTTCCTGCAGAAATACACATGCAATAATTAAACCATCTGACACATCTTGGAAGCAGCATGGTGTTGGGAGGTGGGACTGACCTACTATACTGTAGAGTAGCTACTGCAGGCATATATGACAGACGTCACATTGCCATGACAGCCAGCCTGCCACCAAGTGGTAAACCAGCAAAACCATTAGCCAAAAATGTGGGCAACAGTGGTGGAAGAACTCAGTGTCTTTAAGTAAAAGCAATACCACGGTGTCAAAACACTTTGTCACAAGTAAATATCCTGCATTGAAAAGATGACTTATGGAAAAGCACAAAAGTATTTGCATCAAAATATACTTGTAGTACCAAATGTAAAAATACTCATTTTATGTGGATTATGGATTCAAATTATTAATGCATTATTGTGTACAGTACAGTACATCACTTTAATGTTGTAGCTTGTATAGATAAAATGTTAACTACCCTTTATGCTGTTTTGATGACCATATATTGAATGTAATAGTTCTAATGGAACTTTAAGTGTTGCTTTCTGTTATGTAATTTTTCACCCACTGATTATACAGTATTGTATTGTGATTCTGAAAAATAACTAGTAACTAAGGTGATCAAGGTGGCGTAAAAAATACTTGCCTTTGAAATGTAGTGAAATCAAAGTATGAAATACCAGAATATGGTAATGCACAAGTAAAGTACAAATGCCTCAAAACTGTACAGGTAGAGTACTTGAGTAAATGTACTCAGTTAGTTTCCACCACTGGTGGGCAGTAGTTGACTAGCTGTGGATAACACAACAAACATGATTAGTTTCTCACCTTGTAACTCATTTGTCAGTTTTTGAATTTTGAAATCTTCGTTGTTGAAACCAGCCGGCTTTTTTCTCCTATATCACATTTCTTTCTCAATGGCAAAAATTGATCAAGAAACCGAAGAGCTGGTGATCTAAAAACAGGATTACAGAAAAAAAAAACTAGAAGTACCATTTTGCGGTTGCATGTCTCCAACCAGTCAGATTCACAGGAATGGGGCAGATGTGAGGTCACTGACCTTGACCTTTGGCCACCAAAATCTAATCAGTTCATCCTTGAGTCCAAGTGGACATTTGTGCCAGTTTATTTCTTTTATTGTTGAACTTGGCCAACCAAACAGTCCCCTGTCTGAGGATCAATAAGGTGATTGATCTCAGTGGTTCTCAAACTTTTATAGACCATGGAACCCCTTTACACTGATTCTTGTTTCATGTGGCAGTCTGCTACACCCCTAACAACACAACATACAGGTTCCATCAGTCTCTGATGCAAAGAGCAAATTTACTGATCAATTAGAAACTAAACAGTGACTCCAAATGAAGCTAAGTGTACTTTGCACTAGGTGTGCTTCGTGAAGGGCCAACCAGCACTCAGACAGCACAAACCTCTGCCAAGGCAGCTCAGTGTCCCCATTATACCATTACCCCTGTATTCCTATGACAGATGGAATCAGTAAGGCTGATAACTTAGTTTATGTGGTAATGTTCACAGTGCAAGATTGTTTGCAGTATTATTTTTTTACTTTCCAAGCTGTATTTGGTGGCCAACATTCACTTTTTATCAGCAGTGTGTATCCATCATTTCATTATGAAATGCACTGTGGGACAACACGATCAGTCGTTACCATACTCCAAACAAAATAATGTAACTTTTCGTGACCTTCCTCTACTAATATTCACCCATTCTGACAGATAGGCTGTGCTCATACAACATTAACAGTAACACATGATTTGACTACTACATCATTCAGCCCAGCTGTCCTGAACTTAAGCAGGACGAGTAAGGAGAATCTCAACAACCCCTTCTCATTAATGTTATGAACCCATTCTACAAACTCCAGCATTTGCGACCCAGCTAAATCAAAAGATGAAAAGTAGTCACTTTCACAGAATTAGAGTGGATGGCAGCGGAACCCACAGGGAGCTGGTGAGGCCCACAGGCAGGCACTTGTGACAGCTCAGTACTTGTCAGTTTCCACAGTTACTGAGGCATGCTGCATCGCATCTGATCAGCATGCGACTTGTCGATGATGAATCCAAGAGATATTAGCAAAGCAAATTCCTTTTTCATTGGCCAATCTAAAGACCTGATGAATGGTCAGAACAAAATGTAACCTCAAATTCCAGCAAACCAGCTAAAATCATCAAAAGTGAAGAAAGCAGCAGTAAATAAAACCAAATAAAAGCTACAGTCTAGCAATCATAGGATGCAGCCTAATTCTTTAAATGGCAGTAGGACTGACTCACCTAACTCAAACCAATCCATTATCTATACTGCTGGGGTGGGGGCTGGAGCCAATCCCAGCTGACAATGGGTGAGAGGTGGGGTACACTCTGGACAGGTCGCCAGTCTATCACAGTGCTGACATGTAGACAACCACACACACCCACACTCACCCCTATGGGCCACTGTGACACCATGCCACCCACTGTGTAAAGCCCAAGATGTTCTCAGCCAAGTTTCACTTTATACATTGTATTGTTCCTTCATTTTCCTAAATATGATTTATTGTGTGGAAGTGTGGGGGGGCACACATAAAACCAACAGACCTCTTCATCCTCCAAAAAAGAGCCATAAGGAATCATAAATAAGACCACCTACAGAGAACCAGCTAATCCTATATTTATTAAACTAAAATCACTAGAGATTAAAGATCTGCTTGATTTTAAAACTGTTCAAATTATGTATAAAGTGACTTCTAGTGTTCAAGGGTTGCTCCATCTGAGAGAGAACAAATATGAACTGAGAGGAATCTGAATGTTTAAACACCAACCAGCAGGACTAAGGCCAAATATCTTTGTATTACGACAAAAGGCGGAAAACTGCAGTGAAGAAATGAAAACACAGAACATTAATCAAATTAAAAGCTCTTTAAGAATAATATATTGAATGGATATGCGCTGGACATGTGATGCCTTTTTTTTTTGGTCAAATTTGACAGATTTGTTCTTGGATTGTTTGAGTGTTGATAATTATTTGCTTGTTTTGTTTCTGTATTTTGATTGAATCGGTTTGAATTGTTTGACCGATTGGGATGGGTGTGATGGACACCAGTAGTTGATAATTAAGTCTTATTTTTAATAATAAAAACTTGCAGAGAAATGATAAAATAGATTAAAATTAGAACAATTCTGACAGCAGAAGTGTGAAGAGCTTCTTTTTGCTCTTTGGTCACATTTTTGTGAATGAAACTTGAAGTGAAGAAGACCTCCTCTCCATCAGATGGAGCTGGCAGCCCTCTAATTTGATTACTGTAAAGAACTGTGAATGAAGCCTAACCACAAACAGAGCCAAACAGGCAGCCTTACGTGGTCATTTTAGGGCCGTAGATCATGTTAATAATGAAATCTCACTGAAACAAGGCTACTCGTGACCAGCTGGGATTCATCAGGCTGAAATAAATGATTTACAACAAGTTTGTAGAGTTAGTTTGGTGACTAACTTAAGGAGAAGAATATGAAAACATCCCTACATGAGGTCCAGTGATCCCTCACTGGTTTCCCACATGACCATTTGTAATTGTTGCAAACACACACACAGGCACTGTTGAATTCAACAATAGCTATTAGTTACAGGCAGTAAACTCAACTGAGATCATCTATCTGTGTTGCTGATTAATTGAAAGTAACCCTTAACTAAGGTTGGTAGGAAAATGACCAGCCCCCACTCACCACCATTACGTTCAATTAGCTAAGCCCTCTACAGTGTAATAAATCACATGATGATGTGACTACAATAGAAACGTCATGGTGGTGAGCTGCTGGCAGACAGACAGTATTAGTGGCTGGTATTAGTCCCTGTGGCCAAGGGATGGAGGGGGCATCAATTAGCTTCCAGCAGGCTCTGACCTTGAAATGGAGCACAACCAGAAAACAGGAAGTCTCCCTGTACCACAGCCTGGAGCTTCAGTTTGTGTCATGCATCATTTATTGATTTTTACTTTTTCATATGACTGTAAATGTGCAGCTGCACATTTTAAAGAACTTGTATATTGTATACATTCAAAATAACACCATAACAACATCCATTATTGTAGGGTGCCTAAATCATTGTGCTGTGATTTAGGAGATCATTAATAGTTAAAGAGGAAGGAGTGAATGTTAGGAATTATACACCCAGCCACTGCCGGGGTAATGTAGGTCTGGCTAGAGCAGTGGTTTCCTGCACACCTATCTGTGTAGCAATATTTCTGAGGCTTAGTCATCGGCCTCTGTGCTGTGTCCCAACATGTCTGCTTTCAGGACTTTGCCTGAAAGCAGACACGTCCTTGCACAGTTAAGAGAACAGCCTTTATGTGAAATGTGAAAATATTTGAATGCTTTTTTAAACACTTAATTTATCTTTACAATGATTAAAGTGATAGTTTAGGGTTAAGCAGACCCCAGCTTGTATCCCCCGCCCACGAGTGCATTCTATACTGTGATATTAGAGGTCAGTTTTGAAACAAAGGACATCGTGTCTGAAAAGAACACCCAACCACAGTGCTTTCACCACATGCCGGGTACTCACAGATTGTTGGGATGATGATGTCGTTGTACTCCTGTGTTGTCCGAGGGTGTTGAGTCTGCTTTGGGTTGGTGGGATGGTCAGCATTGTATTTCAGTGTAACAGAGGGATCAGACTGAGTCACTCGTGGAGACTGAGGCACGTATGGCCCTCGCGTAGATTCCTCCTCTACAAAAACCTCAGGATGTCCTGGGGTAACAGTGATGGCGGTGGTTAGGGAGGCAGTAGACGGAGATGAATGAGGAACTGACACAGTTAGTCCTAACGTGGGGTCAACTGATATAATAATTGGGTCCTGTCCGATGGGTTTAGGATCTAAGTGAGTGGGTGGTTCATACTCAAAGATCTTATCCACAAAGACCCATTTGAGGCCAGCTATGCAGAGGGCTAAGCTAAGCAGGCAGGCCAGGATGGGCAGAATGCAGATTTTCTCAGAGTGCAGGCAATTGTTAATCTGTTCCATCTCTATGCACACACAGCAGGTCCCTGGCAAGGCCACAATTCCCAAAGCTTCCAAATGCTCCCCATCACCACCATCATCACCACCACCACCACCTCCCTCTGCAGTTTCCTCTGCGCCATCCTCCCCACTCTCACCAGCTGCCTCTGTCTCCTCTGGTTTCTCCTTGGGGACTTGTCCAGTGTCAACAGTAGAGCTGGTGGGGGAGGCCGATCCAGAAGGGTGAGCTGGCACTGCAGAGATGTCCTCCATTCCCTCAGTCATCCTTCCCAACTGCTGGATGAAGCGTCCCTGAACACCTCAACTATTAACTCAGAGCATCACACAGTGGCTGTCTGCCACCAGTCTCCTCGACTACGTTTTCCATCATGAGGCTGCAAAAGTCAGAGCTGGGAGGTAAAAATGCTCTTCAGAGCCAGTCAAACGTTGTTAACAGTGTCGGGGGGTTGTAGACAGCCTTCTGCGCACAAGGAAAAGGAGTTCCTTATTCATGTTTTCTTTCATGAAACACAATCATGAGTCTATAAAAAGAATCATCAAATTTGCTGCAGGCAAGAACAAAAAAAGAGAATTAGATTCCTTAAATGTTCTAGCTGTGAGCAGTGGTGGCACAGTAGAGCTCACTCACCTGAGCATTTGGGAAGAGGCGGTGTCGACGTGATGGGCCGGCTGCAGCTGCAGGACGGCCAGGCACTGCAGTGGCAGGAGGGACATGCTGTCTGTCTGTGGAGCTCCAACTAGCTGAAAGGCTGAATCATCAGGGAGCGGCAGGTGCCCTTCCTCTCAGTGCAGCCACAGAAACAGATGAGTAAGGGAAAGGAGAGAGAAAGAGAATCAGAGAGGAGAGGAAGGGGGGGGGGGCGGGAGGAGGAGG